TACCTACCTACCTACCTACCATTACTTCTGCACACGCATACATCATGCGTGCGTATGTGCATATGTTCGACATTTCAGCCAGCGGAACTCCGGCCACCTGACGCCCGATCGAACACCCCTGCCCGTGTTCGGGTGTGAGAAATCATGGCTTGCAAGATCCGACCTGCGGATTCTCTTAGTGCTCCTAGGATGAAACTCGAGGCTGCGAACAGGCCAGGAGAGCTACCGTCTGCGGATCGAGCCCCTCTACGGCTCGGTGGAGGTGGACCAGTGCCTTGTCCTCCAATGGGTCCATATTGGGGTTCTTTATATATGGATCCTACTGTTTAGGGTTTAGGGGATCTTAGGAGCAGCGTAGGTAGCCTTTAAACTTTTTGGGGGATTGTTATCGCCATATAATCCAAAAAGCTAACCTTGAGTTCCCCTCAGGATAGGACAAGTAAGGTATGCCCAGTAGTTTCTTTCTCAGAGGGCTTGAGTAATGCGGCACTTCAGAGGATAGCCGGTTAGCTTCCCAGAGAGCCCAGTACCCCGTAGTTAAGGAATATGCCTTGAACTATAAAGGCTGGAATGTTATGATTTGAGGTAGATTCCTTAAGTAATGAAGGGGTATTAGGCTTTCTGCGTTTCATCGGGGCTTAGCGAAGTTAGGCAGACCTGCTTGGCCATTATTGCCGGTCAGGTGCAAGTATCGTGCATCCGAGTCCTCCAAGAAGGCCGGCCTGTGCGACAGAATTTGGAGACAGTTTCTATCGTTTGGTCTGAGCAGGTGACAGTCACTCTTGCGAAGCGGCACAAGAACCGCGTCTGGTCAACTCTTCAGAAGCCTCGATGAGACAGCCAAGTGCCCATCACCAGCTGATTGGCTGGTTGTGGACCGCGATTTACTTCAAGCAGCCTGTGTCGACTGTGTCTCTGGTTTGTGAGTTGCAGTTTCATGTACAGAGAGACGGTGGCTTGGACCTACCAGTGTCTCATCAGCATTGCAAAAAAGAGTTGCTTTGCACGTTCAGAATGCCAAGTTCGAGTCTGCGGAGCATCCTGCATGCGCTGCGCTTCATAGAAGCCAGCACTTGCTGGGGGCTTTGGGGAAGGAATGCTGAAGCTTCTCCACTTACTCCCAAGTGCGTTTCCGCTGGAATCCTTCAAATGAACTGCAGGCAAGCAAGGAAGGACCAATGGAGACGGTGATCTTGGAAAAGACCATTGTTAAGCGTGCGGCTCAGTCACGGGTTGATCGAGCTCGGCCTTCAAGTTGCTGCGGGGCCTAATTTGACCTCTGGCCACTGTGCCCACAGATGCCGGTATCAGAATATAGCTCATACTTGAACTACTACTACTACTACTA